ATATATATATATATATATATATATATAGATATAGGGGTCTAAACAAAAAATCGTCTATGACAGCTAAGTTTCATTTGTGGGCAATTATTAAGTATATATAATTGCTCGCACGCTTGTGCACACCATGCAGCACAACTAATCAAATAAAGTATAATGTCCAAATAAATTATTAAATTATAAATAAATTTTTATTTTTATTATAGTTAATGAAATTTTTATATTTTTATTTTTATTAAATAAATTATTATAATTAATTATTATTAATCAAAATATCACATAATATCTTATATTCATATAATAATAATATGACGATTATATGAAGAGTGAGAAAGAGAGAATAAAAAATATTACATGTTCATATTATCATCGATTACGATATATTAACGTATGATATTTATATTATATGATATAAAATGATAAAAAATATTTTTATTAAGTTAATTATTAAATAAAATTTTATTTAATTTAAAATAAAAAATATAAAAATTTATTTAAATATAATAAAAATATAAAGATTTATTTAATTTTTAAAATAATTTTTAAAATTTTTTTAAATATTATGATGATAAAAAAATTAAAAAGTAAAGTCAACGTAATAAAGTATAGTAACCTGTTACTAAATTGTTTAAACTTGAAAGTCAGAAGTTTGAACTACAAAGGCAGAGAGGGAAAAAGGAAACGTAAAAGACAATAAATCTGTATTTGACGTGTTTGAATGTAAGACGACGAGAACGCGTTGCAGCCTTTTGAAGATTTGAAGATTCTTCTAATACAAAATTTTATTTCAAACACTTGAAGCCGTGTGCAATAAGTGCGTGCCCAACCTTTAAATTATTTTTTTTATTTTTTTTTAACCTTTAAACTATTTTGATTGTTATCACAAACTACAAAAAATAATTTATTGACATAAAATGTTTTTGTGCAAAAAGTCTTATTAAAAAATTTAATATTTTTATATTATTTAGGTAAACTATAAAAAAATATCATTTATTATTTAATTATATCATTTTATAAAAAAATATTTTTCATCGTTTTTACAGTAGAATGTTTAGATTCTAAGTAAACATATATATTTTGATTGTTATCACAAATTACAAAGAAAAATGATGAAAAAGTTTTCTTTTTTACCCAAAGGAACCTATATATATATATATATATATATATTTCTTTATATAAAAATGTCTAATTTTAAAAGTGCTAAAAGTTATTAACTTAAATATTCCTAAAAATTTATAATATTTAACAATCTGCTCTTATATTATCTTTGAAAAAATTTAATCGTTGATTTTCTCAATTTTTTGTATTGAAATATTACAAATTATTATGGCAATTGGAAAAAGAAATATTGTACGGCTTCAAATTAGAATGAATATGTTCTTTAGATAATACATATAAAACAACTTCAACTTTATTCGTTTTCACATATTCATCCATATAATAGCTTTAAAAAAATTCAAAATAGGAAAATTTATTTTAATTAGGTAGATCCTTGACCTTAATTAAAATTTAATGCTAATCTAAGTCAACTTACTATGCTATTTAAATCTTTCAGTACTTTTAAGCCCCTTTTAATGTACCAGTTAAATTCCCTTTACTTGCAATTACTTTTTCCTGCTTATGGTTTGGTAAATTGCTTTCTTCCACACAATTTACGATTGAGATTGTTTCCATGATAAGTACAAAGCGAGTCTTTGTTATGGAAAAACAATACAAACTTAATTTATGTAAATGAACAACAAATTTTTTTTTTTTAAAAAAAAGAAAACCTGATTTATTGCTACTCTCGAAACTACATTTTAGTTTAAATGGTATTCCATTTGCCACTTAATATTCTCACTTCTTCTACATTTTAAAAGCACTTCCAGATGTCAGTTAATCAAATCTGATACGAATCCAAGCATTAGAAAACAAAAAAAAATTTACCCTTCAAAGACAATTTCTTCATTCAGAAATATGTGGGAAGGCCACATAAAATAGTTAAAATTAAGTAAATCTGTAAAAAAATTATGTCTTATTTGTCATTTCAGAGCTTGGCACAAGGGAACCATTATAAGCTTCTCACTTTACAATAAGGTCAGCTTACTTTTCACCACCCAACTGTCTCTTCAGCTCTTTCTTGTTAACCTGGAATTTAACATCTCAATTAAAAAACCTTGGAAATCTTTACCTAGCAAGTTGACTGTCAGACAACAAAAGAAATAGTTTCTAGCAAACAAAAAGTCAAAAAGAAATTCACCTTTCCCATAGCATTACGAGGAAGAGAATCCCACAACATTAATCTTGTTGGTAGCTGGAAACCAGACACATGATAATTATTAATATAGAATAGATAAAAAATGTGTTTGGAACCAGAACTTCAGGTTCATGAGAGAGTGCAAAATGAGAGGAATACTGTCCTGCTAACTTCATAAAATCTAAGTCTGGTGGTATGTAAAAGCTTTCACTTCAGCTAATAATTTTGGTATATATAGCCTTATTGGTTGAAACCTGAAACATGCCTGATTAGTGATTCAAAACTTCACTAAGCCATTTCTAAAGGTCAAACTACATGCCTGAATAGAGCCTCACAGTTTAGTAGATGGTATTTACAAGGCTTCCGGTTAATAATGACATCAATAGAAATTAAGATGACAGTGGACTCAAAGGTCCAGAGATCATGATTCAGTATAAAATGAGACAGAAATTTACAAAAGATAGTGACGCTGCAATACCTTGTATGGAGCAAGTTTGTCTTTAGCCCAGCTGCAAAGCTCTTCCAAACTCAAAGCAGAATTTGAATCTTCTTGTTTCCCTTTTGTTTCAGACTCCAGCACCACTATTGCAGATACAGCTTCTCCATAATCCTTGTCTGGTAAGCCCAACACACAACACTCTGCTATATCAGGGTGCTGCACAAAAAAGTCACTTTTGGTTTATTGATAATTGTCTAAGCAACCCACCCCAACCCTGATGGGGGCCTATTTTTTGTTTTCAGAGAGAGAGAGAACAAGTATTGAGGACAGCAAAGAAAGAGGTTTTATGACCCACAGACTTGGAATACAAGAGGGCAAGTAGTTACCTCTAAAAGAACTGATTCAATTTCCAAGGCAGACAATTTGTATCCACCAACCTTCATAATATCAGCACTTGTACCTGACAAATTATACATAAAATAATAAAAGGCATGAACAAGAATAAGTAGCAATACAGATGATTACACGCTTTTTGGGTCATGCATGAAATAATGGGACAAACTCACATCCGTACAATTACTATAAGAAAATGAAATTGCAGAGAGTGGATTCAGAGTATATAAGGAATAGGAGAACCAAAGGTCAAATCAAGGAGTATATAACAAGATATCAACAAACCATAGCATACATTTGTCCCTTTGTCATAGTTTGAGCCATTATAGTTCACCAAAGACAGGAGGAAACAGAACACCCAAGAGTTGTAATCTCCTGCCCAACTTCTCTTCTTCGGAACACATAGGATAGACATGTTACACATATCAAATTAAATATGAACATCCTTGATGAAGTATGAAATTAGTCTGTTCTGGTAGACCAGGACTCGAAGCATTTGTTGGAAAGAAAATGGCCAGCAAAACAGGGGAACAGGGCCCATACAAGGAAGAGGAGGTTTTAAAATTTTGAAATAATTATATCCATGAAACAATAGAATTAAAGGGTGTAGGTAAAGCCAGCACTGATACTACAGAAAAATGTTACTAAAAGTCACTAGAAAATTCATAAAATGATTGGTCAAAATGGACTGATGACATACAAGTTAGCCAGGTAGATAAATGTGAATTCTGGGCTCAGATTTTAGCAATCCAAAACGCAATCAAGAAAGATGGCTATTTAGCTGAAGCCCATAAGAGATGATATTTTCTAGGTTCCTACGGCTAAAATTTACTTTAGACTCAACACAGTCCATCATACTATCATCATCCTAACATCTTTTGGAGATCATTTGACCGAAAACTTGTAGCTAAACTGTTGGAGTTCAACCAAACAACAGAGGAAACATATGGACATATTCCACATCCCACAGCAGGGAAGGCAGAATGTATTGACAGTAACAACCAGCAGAATCAGTTGATGAGCATGTTAAACATTGTGTAGTATGGAAGTGCTAAAATGCATGTCATTCATTATCAATTCTTTACTAGGAAGGAAAAAGATGAAGATTATTACGCAATAGTGCATAATTTATTAACAAACATATGAAAATTCAACAATATGAAACTAGATCTCCTTACGTCCCAAAATGATATAGTATCCATCTTCATCCACTCTACCAGCATCCCCAGTCTTGAAGAACCCATCATCAGAAAATGATTCCTTAGTTACCTACATTCAAGAAGAAAAGGAAATTGAATGAAATTACCATCCTTGTAGTTAAAGCATTTTATAATCGCAAAATGCATCTCATAGATATGTCTGCCTAGCTGAAATCTCACACATTTCTTAGTTGTTGACTTAGGGGGGTGGGGGCATATCCGTAAATTCAAAAACAGAAAAGCAGCAACAATACTAGGCAGCTACAACTTCTATTCCTCAACTAGAGTTGTAAGAAAAAAAAATTGGAGAACCAAATTCCAGCTCAATTCGGAAATCCAGAAAAGACTTTTGTATCTGAATTTGGAGCAATTCTGTAAATTCTAAAGCAATGACTATATTTGATAAAGGAGAAGTGAAAAACTGGAGCACGAGAAATTATTCCATTAGATTACAAGAAATACCTGAGGAAGTTTCCAGTATTCCTTAAACAATGAAGGACTTTTAACACAAAGCTCGCCCACACCCATCATATCACCCCCGCTTTTATCTTCGGCAATCCTGACCTGATAGAGATAATTAAATTGAAAACAATTATCTAAAAAATCCATGGAAGGAAAGTTATTGATAGTAACCTTTCTGGAGAAAAAAAGGTTTCACTAGAATGTTTCTTCTGTGCTCAGAAGTGGAAAATGACATGTTTTCTAACCTTTATCTTTGTTTCTGCCTCCAATTTCTATTTTATTTTCCATACAAGAAACCATGTTTTCTCAAGTAATATAGAAAAGTAAGGATAAAATTTAACAACAAAAAGTGAAAAAAAAAAAACAAAGATTATCCCTGGCACACATTGTAAAACAGGGTTTTCTAGGAGGTGCAAAGTTGTACTTCAAACAAATTTTCTCCTCAATGTCCAACTTCTGAAAGCATCTTTGGAGAAAACCAATTTTCCACAGTCAAAGAGACACTTATATTCTCATTCTGCACGAAGGAAGCAAAATGATTTTGCCCAAAATTTCCCTTATTTATTAATAATTTATTATGAATGCTTCACTTTGCCCGCTGTTTATTTATTATGAAGTTGCAATTTATTTTTCACTTTTTTCTACATCCAAGAGTTCAACAGTAAGAAGCAACTATGCCCAAATGACCTTTTAAAGCCCTTGTATATCCACTTTGCAAACTACAATGACTATGAAATCGGATACCATAACCAATAAATCCTCCTAACCTGAACTCCAGGAAATGGTTTGCCAACTGTTCCCGCCTTCCGTGAACCCCTTAAGGGATTTGATATTGCCATGACAAACTGAACACATCCAGTCCAGCCAAACAGTATAACCATAAGAATATTTCTGACAGACCACATCAATGAATTGCTGAATGAAGCAAACAAATAACATGAAAAAGCTCTTAAATTTGAGATCACTTACCTCAGTCATCCCATACCGTTCCAAAAGACGGTGTCCTGTAATGGTCTCCCATTCTTGCATGACAGGTTGAGGAAGTGCAGAGGAGCCACACATCTGAAGAAAAAAAAAAACACGTTTTACCTTCTTTAGAACTCAAGTCAATTTATCACAAGGTTTTGACATATACTGTGGCAATAAAGAGATTGTAAAGGATTAATTAGACTGCAAATGGTAAGAAAGAAACCTTGTACTTCTACCCAAATTTTTAGCAAACATGTTATGGGAAGAGCTTTCCAGGCAACTAACCATAAGACGCAACTGTCTTGCTGCAGAGGCAGATACAGCTCGTTGCTCTGGATCCATTGCTTGATAACCTTGTATCAATCTAGTATACATTGTTGGAACCTATGTATCATAAAAGACAACATAAATTATCATCTACAGACTATTTTCCTGAAAAGCATGATATCGTAGAATGCTGGATGACAGACACAGGATTATGCAAGGAAAAACAAACTGCTATTGTCCCTATAATCTGCATGCTACAATATAATTTTGTGGAAGAAAGTTTATGAATTAAGAAACTGAATAACTTTAAAAAGGAGCAGCATCTTCAAGCTCGGACTTGGGTATGGATGTTAAGGACATGGGCACATTCAGCAAAGGTCTGTTCAATTTTTCACAAGATTTTTCACATGATATTGGGAGAATCATAACCAAATACCAATGTCTATTTGAGCTGTTTTATATATTTCTGATTTATGTATTCTAAAATAAACTGACAAGTCAGCACCATGATTCTCTATGATTCTACAAAGACAAGACTAAACCGTACTAGAACAATTTACCCTGTTAAAATACTGAAATGATTAAGATGCAAACCACACTTACTCCTGTAAAAACAGTAATGGCATCATCAGCCTTAATCCCATTTATTGTGTATGATTCACGCCATCTTTGCCAAATTCCCCTCACACTAAACTTTGGCATAAATTCAACCTTAAACAAGAAGAGCAAATATATTACAACAATAATAATAGTTTGATAACCTGTCCAGAAATAATATGATAATAACTACTATAACCCAACTGAATAACAACTGTCATATAGCACTTTTGTTGCATCAATAAGTGGTTGGATGAGAAACTTATAACTTAAGGAAGAAGAATAGTAAAAAGAAAAATCCAAAAATCAGAAACTGAGACATAAACTAGTATTGCTTACCGTTGAGCCTGCATATAGAGGGGCGAGTAAAGCATTGAAAAGCCCATGAACATGTATAGTGCGAGTTAAGAATCAATATGAGGCAATCTTCTCAAATCAGGAATTTAACATCGGCACCAAGAAGTTAACAACAGTATCATCAAGAAGCATGCTTGATCAATAATGTGAAGAATTCAGGCTATTTCAATTATATAAATGTTTGTTGATGGATATGATGTAGTGGTAGACAATGCAGAAACTGATCAGTAGATGTATACTCCCAAGCTTCGGTCAGCATTTGCACCTGAAATCAAGAAAAGGCTGTCAAAAGGTTAAAGTCAAATTCAGCAATAAAAAGAAAAGAAAAATGAAGAAAATGCAGAAAGTCAAGAAGTTCACAGTCGCATTATGGTATCAGTTTCAAAATGCTTTACTATTTCCAGGCATATATCATAATACCACTTCCACACAAGATAGTAAGGAATCTATGTTCCAATAAGTGACTTGGAAAGCAGTTAGCCCAAAAAAAAACATTTCTATTTTGTTTTAATTACATCCAATGGATAAACATTGACATCATAAATATAGAGATTCTATAAACGTGCTTGTATATGTATGGCATATTACAATTGAGGTCCTAAACACAGAAAAACTCTCTGGATTTTAAATCTAATTACAGCAGTGCTAATATCAAACAAATAAATTTGCGTGTTAATGTTAAAAATTATTAGCTACACAAAAACTTTTAGAAAATTACCTGAGCAGTGATGCTCTTGTGGGTATGAACTACTCCTTTAGGTTTACCAGTTGTACCACTAGTGTAGACAACCAATGCTGGATTTTCACCTACACCATTGAAAATGAAAAACCAGGAGTATGAGAGGAAAAGTTTGTCCAAACACTAAACAATATAATTTTATAAATTCTCAGAAAGGTAAACAATTACTCCTACCAAACTTCTAAATATTACCTATCAAACTTCCTTCTGCTTCTATCTCCCCAATTTGTATTTGATCAGTAACATTTGGGGATGAGGAAATATTGGGAACAGGAGGAATAAGAGAAAACTGTGCAGCACTTCTAGCAGCTACACTTTGCATAGTTTCACGATACTCTTCAGTACTCAATACAAAGGTTATATCCTAATGCAGTAACAAAAAAAAAAGAGTAAAAATTCACATTTAAAAATTTATAAAAAAAAAAAAACAATTCCAAATGAGGACTATGAAGGATGGCACAAAAGGGAACAACTCCAGGCATTCTTAGGGTATTTTACTCCTCACCATATGTTATTGAATTCATAGGATTGCTAATACTTCACATCTATTATTAGTCTGATTAGGTTGCCTACCAGCTAACACCAAATATCATTCAATTATATATTTTATCTTTATACAGATTATTCCGACATCAAGTTGCAGAATTCTCTTTGAAAAGCTTACAAAACCTTATTATGGTTAAAGATAAATGCAAATGTGAACATAAATAATACAGTGGTCGGGATTCATAGCTTATGGACAGTAAAATAGTTCCCTACTCCACAGCAATAGCTTATACACAAAATATTTAACTATATAGTGGCACATCTAATAACGAGGAAGTGGATTAGCAATTAACAAACATCATGCAATAAGCAACTTAACAAAATGGGAAAATAGAGGTAATTGCAGGTCATACTGAATCATTCATAACATGCAAGAGCTCAGCCTCAGGATAGCTGAGGGCTAGTGGAACAGCAACACCTCCACTAAACCAAGTGCCCAGCATTCCAGCTACAAACTCAGCAGAAGGTTTAGCTACAATACCAATTCGAGCTCCGCCAAGATTTCCATGCCCACTAATGACTCCATCATTCTGAAATCACCAAAAGAATAAGTTTTAATAAATTATCTAAAATTCAATATCCACGTTTGCTTATATTAACTGCACCTAAAGCATACAATTTTTACGTTGCTGCTGGATAACAGCCTAGATATATTGAACGCAGAGGCGACGAGTTGCCTGTAAGTGTAACTGTTTTGATCAGCTCGAATTGCTATACTGTCCGCAGCAGATGATCCTTGCCTACAAGCTGCTTTAACCACCTCCATGAATGAACCTGATTCCGATCCCGCTGACAAAAGATAAATTTAAACAGAACAATTTAAAGGGTATTTAGAAAGATATTTAGATAGGTCAAACAGCTCTTAAATCGCGTAAAATTCCGTTGAAAGTGAAGTTGAAGTAACGTTACGATATAAAAAAACCATAATCTTCAGAAAGATCAAGGCTGAGTCACCCATTTCCTCAAACACGAGACAGACACTCAACAGAAAAACCCCACCATGTTCCACCACTTTCTTTTAGATTTTCTCAGCAACCAAACAAAGGAGAGAGAAAGAGAGCTTACACCAGTGAGAGGAGGAAGAGAAGGAAGAGCTTCCGAAAGGAGGTCTGACGAAAGGATAAAGATAATAATAGTAATTGATGTTGTTAAAATGAAAGTGATGGCGCTTAAAAAGACAGGGCCGTGGCAGTAGAATTAGGGAGTTGTAGTTGAGAGCTTTAAATGAGGAGATGATGCTCCCCCTCATTTACTGACTATTTCTTCTTGTATTAAATTTGGCTGACAAATCTTGGTTTCTCTTCTTTCTTTCTTTGTGTTTTGGTTTTTCTTTATGAGCTGTTTATTCAGTTACAGTTTGAAATGTGGGTAAACAATAGTACTAAGAATTAAGATTAGTGCGGGAGATTTTTCTATGAGCTGTTTCGCACGGAGATTTGCGCGGCGATGGTCGGGTACTCATGAGCTGCCTGGGCGCCCAACTACCGCTCACAAATGTAGTTGCTATTGGCGGGGCTGGAATCGTCGGATTAAATTTCGCCACGTGGTTTTATTTTTTTTCTTTTTATTTTTATTTTATTTTGATATAATATTTTAAGAAATTTTTAAATTATTTAATAAAATTCAGACGCATTTCAATACTGAAAATAAAATTATTTTCAATCAAAATCTATTGTATTTTTATTTTATATCAAATAAATCCATAAACTAATAGTTGATTAAATACCATTTAATTAAAACGTCACTTAATATTTTTTACACACATGACATTGATGTGATATTAAGATAAAAAATAAAAATACTACATGATCATAATATCATGTCACATAACATATTAACATACCATATCAACATCACATGATATAAAATATATGAAATATTTTTACTAATAATAGCCAACCGTTAATTTTAAAAACCTATTTAGTCAAAATAAAAATACAAAAACTTAATTAACCCCAATAAAAAAATAAAAATTTATTTAAAGAATAGATTTGATTCAATATGATACAATAAATGTAATCAAATTAAATAAGTCCAATGTGTGAATGCACTTTAGTGTGTGTTCTTGAAACCAGAAATTATAAAAGCTGAATAATTTGCCCAATTTAAACCTTAATCCGGAATAGTTTAAGAATTAATAATTTAAAACTCATAAAGAAATTCTCTTCTATCCCAAACGCCGGCGCCGATCAGACACTCTCATCAACATGTGTATTCAAGCAAATATGAAACTGTCATCAACATGTATATTCAAGGTCCAGTGAAATGGAGATAGAAAATTGAAGAACATCATTGACCTCGCCACCTACTCCACAGGAAGGAAGGGGTGACTCCTCGTGGAGGAGGAGGTGTGAGCAGGTCTAGCATAGTTTCCTTCTCTTTTGGGGTCAATGGAACACCCCTAACAAGGTTCAAAGCCATGATGTGCACATTGGTGTTTTGCCTGTGCTTGTTGTAAGCCCATATCCCAGCAGCAGCACCAGCAACAAGAAGCTGTCCCCAAAACCTTTGATTTTAGTTTAATTTCGAAAGATGGAAAAGATTAACAATTACCATCAGACAATCCTTTTAGGATCTTAAACTGACCGGTGATAGCCACAAGGCTGCAGTCTGCAGATCAAATTTAGGGGCATAAAGTACTGTCTCCCCATAATCTTCTTCAAGCTTTTTATAAATCTCTTTGTCACTCTTCCCAGATTGAATCTCATCACGGATTAACTGCACTAGCGAAATACAGGTTGGAAGTTTCTCATTAGCAAGGTTGCAATAAGATAACCACAGGGGTACAGAAAAACAGAAATGATGCTCCAAGAGAACAAGGGCATACAGACAATAAGAAGTTAGAGAAACAGAACAAAGCTATCTTCTGAAGAGAAAGTCAGAAAAGGCTGATTTTGCTACCCGAATAACAGTTCATAATTTTAATTATTTAGTGCAAAGAACAGGTAGATGCAACACTAGAGTTTCAGGGAATGCTGAGAGTTAGAAGGTTTTAGGAATATTGGGACATGCACAAGTTCGTTATCACACACAATAAGAATTGGCCCAATGGGAGATCTATGGATTGGAGGTTAACAAATATCTGAAAAGAAAGCCATTGACAACACAAACTATTAGCTCAAGAAACAATTCCACAGTTATAAACAGTCCTCCTCTCCACCAGCCTTAGAAAATTCCAAGTGTATAATCCAAGTAATTCGAGGTTTGACAACTAATCAAGTGATAAGTTGTAACAAGAAACAAAGTATTCTTTTTATGAGAATATAACACAGAAAAATTGTTTACAAGCACTGAATTCATCTGATTGCCTACGCTGAGAGAAACATCTTGGCTTTCTACATTACCATTTAGAAGAGATAAAATATCATACCTTTCTAAGGAGAATTGCAATATCAGCTTGTGAATCTTCAATGGACTGACTCCCACACTCTGTACAACGCACATTGTGGCTGATATTTCTTGCCCTGGCTTCCACAACTTGTGCCTTCTTCACCTCATCATCTTTGTTTTCCATTGTAAATATATATCACCTCAACTGTCAAAAACACCTTGAAGATAAATACATTGGCAACATTAGAACTTGCTAGGCCTTTCTTTGTCATCATTGAAGCATTTTATCAAACACTTTGCTTAAGCAAAAAGGAAGAAGCAGAAAAGACATTATAAGCACACGATTTTTCTTAAGCCTCTTCTATAAATCGAATGATTTAGTTTAACACAAAGTCCAAAACCAAAAGGCAAAAAGATTTGAAATTTACTTCAAAAGGGTGGATTTAGTTTCAACTATCAAGTATACAGACCTCATTCAACTGAAGCTAATCCGTTGCTAAAAGTACATAAAAAAACTGGTATTTCATTGTCTTAGTTACAATCCAGCACTTGGGTTTCTTTGTGACTTATCTATCAACTCAAAATCCCAACTTCTTCAGTTTTCTTTTCCATTTTCTATATTTTCTGGGTTATCAAAAGAAATAAAATAAAAAAAAGCATAGACACAAACACAACAGAGAATACCTCAGTGAGTAATGATCAATTCAAGAGCTTGTAATATGAATAAAGGTTTACCTTATGAAAGTTTTGAGGAGGGCTCAATTTCAGCTCTGTTCCTCCTTGAAACTAGCTGATGCTGATGTCATTCACCGGAATAAATTATAAAGCCGCCACGTTTAGGAATTGCGGCGCTTTTGTTTCTGGTACGAGAAAACAAAATAACTATTACGTGGCTTCATGGAATGAAATGCACATTCCACGAAAATTGACATTCTCGTAATATTTTAATGTTTAGTTAAGAAGAATAGTTTTGAAATAATAAAAGGATAAGTTAAAATGACAAAAATTCTTTTTATTATAATTTAATAAAATTTTTAGAACTTATTATTTTTTAAAAATATGTTATTATTAAATTATAATTTAAAATATTAATAATTTATCATTTAAAATATTGAGATGATTTTTTTCTTAATTTCTTTTTATTCTTTCTTTATTTTTATATTCCTTTTTTTAATCTTTTAATTTTCATTTAAATTTTATTAAAAGATTAAGATATTAATAATTTATTATTAAAATAGGTCAAACTATCTAAAAAGTCTTTATATGATAGTATTTTTATCAATTTAATCTTTCTATTCAAAAACTAATCAATTTAATCTCTATATTTTGATATTTAGTACAATTGGATCATCAATTTTTTACTTTGTTGATATATTTATGCAAGTTAAGAAAAAGTATAATAAATTGGTATCATTGTTTTAACTTTTCATATGTACAAAAAAGTATACAAACCAATTACATCTTAATTACAAAAAATCAAATCTAGTTAAAAAGGAATAATACGACCATCAACAGTGGTCTAGTTACAAAAACAATTGTAAGACCCAAGTATGATAGCAATAAGACATAATGTAATTAATTTTCTTCTCAACAATAGCTAAATATGAATGAGATAAACTTGTAATTAGCAGTTGCAAGTGTGTGTTAAAGATGATAATAATATAGACTACCTTTTCTTCAAGTTTTCGAAAATCAAGTTTGTTTCACAGAATTCAGAGTCAATCTAAGCAATTCATTAACAACAAAAGCATAAAGAGTATGGAGACATCAAAAAAAAGAGGTTCTATCATTGATTAACTATATTGAAGCTGAACATATTATTCCGTGTGAAAACACGTTTGGATGTATATGCTACTTTAATTTCCAGCAGGAAATGTGCTCACCCAGTATTAAAAAGACCAAAAAAAAGAAAAAAAATGAAACGCTCTTAGAATATACATGGGCCTTGGAGAGTGAGCACTGAATGAATGTGTTCTTTCCAATTACTCCATCTGTGACATCATTTAGCAAAGTCTGTATCTTTGTATTTGTATCCAGGCAGAATTTGATACAAGAGACATGGGTGCATTGAACCACTTACTATTCAGCAGCTCCCTGCAAAATCAGACATTGGCGCACAAATTCACAAGGACAGACAGAATCAAGCTGTACGAACTCCCTCCCTCTAAACTATTAAATGTTTTAGAGTCTTTGCATTTCCAAGTTTCTTTCACAATCTTAAAGCAGGCAACTAGACAACCTGATTGACTGAAACTACAGGGGCTTTGAGTCCCACAACTATACTCACAAACTAATTTTGAACTAAAGATCGGTTAACCTAACTTTTGCCTTAATGTACTAAGTTCACACGGTTCAGATAATTAGATGAAACTGATATACCTCTATTCTGGTGGAAGAAATGCAATTTCAATCTCTTGAAGTGATTTTCCTTTAGTTTCCAACACGTTTTTCTTCACGAAAATTACTGCCACCAAACAAAAGGTGCCAAAAATTGTATTCAGGACTAATGGTCCAATCTGCTCCAGTAACCGCAAAAACAACAGGCCAACAAAGAAATTTATCACCTGTTACAAAGACCAAAGACAGTCACAGGAGGTAAGGAAAGGAGGAGAAACAACAGAGAGAGATTGCACAATGGTCAGGTGTCTGTTCACCATTAATCATAATTCCAAATGCATTTGAACCGATTATGCGTGCTTGTTTGCAAATTTAAGAGACAAAATTAAGGAAAAAAAAACCAACACCTCTATCATAAAAGCATCACTACTAGGAGATATTAGGAAACTGTCCAATGGGACCTCTAGATTTAATATAATGCTTTCACTAAATAACGAACAGCATTAATTTTACAAAAACAACCAATAAAAAAGAAAATCTACCTGCAATTGATTGAGATACCTAACAATCTATTTAGGTTCTTTTCAATATATATATATATATATATATTCAGGCAATTTTAATTTATTAACTCGTAGCAAAATAGGCGAAAAAAAAATCCCTTGTCTGGCAGCAGAATGTAAGAGGAAGAAGAGTTAAAACTGGTTACCCAGTGGACAGCCATGCAAATTGACATTGCCTTTGCCCTAATCCGACTAGGAAACATTTCTGATAGGAGGAGACCAGGGACTGGCCCAGCACCCATTGCAAAGGTCAAGACAAACCTGCATTGTCACATCATCAAGTCTGCATTCAGAGAATGCCACCCCACAAAATGAAGTTGCTAGACATAGATGTTTCTTTTGAATAGCCTTCATTAAAGTCTGTAACAAGGTACATTTTAAACATGGTCTATGGCACCACTGAACTAGAAAAAATTTATTTAAGCAGTTTATACTAGACATGATGCATTCATGTAGTAAGATGCATTCTTCTCGAGTGGCAAATTGTAATGCATTCAACAGTCTGATATCCATCATCTCATGATGAATGAAGCAGATATTTGTAAATATCGCAAGTGACACAAAGCCTTGAGGTTTAATAAGCTTATCTCCACTCCAAAATGAAACATTTTATTATTCAAAGATTAACAACTTACAACAGCATGCCTCCAACAGACATATAAACTTCATTGCTGCTCGAGACTAAGGAACTAGCTGAAGTTGCCTGAAGACCCATTGCCACTGCCTGAAAAAACAAAAGCATAAAGGGAAGATTAGATAAAATATCGAAGTTGTATTAAAAGACCTGCAAACATTTTTCTTCCTTACCATGCCTGAAAAACTTCCAATGAGAAGTAACTTCCTTCCCAGTTTATCCATCAAAAGCAACGCAACAAATGATCCTGAAGAAGTATAAACAGAACAATAAATGAAACACCCCACCATGATGCGTAAGTTGAATACTTGGTAATGTAGCCTTATATACCTATCAAGTTGGCAATTCCCACACATATGTTTGCAGACTCTGAAGGTACACCGGCATTTTTAAAGACAGTTGATGAGAAATAGAATACAGCATTTATACCAGAGAGCTGTTGTAAGGCAAAAAGGGTAGACCCAATGAAAATAACTGCAAATGGAGAAATTAACAAGTAATCATTTAGAACGAAAAATATAGATACTATGACTTATAAGTCTTACTGCAAATTATTAGTATGTGCACCTTTACGATGACGGCCATAAAGAAGCTCTGAGAACCTGACTGAATCTGCCTCATCCCCTCTATCTGACTTTGACAATTCAGCCATTGCACCTTTGACATATGGTCCTCCCAAAAGTTTCTCAAACTCAGCTTCAGCATCAGCACCTCTTCCTCTCTGAAGCAAGTTTATAAAGCTTATAAGAGTCTACTGAGAAAGGCTACTTGAAGATAAACAAAGAGAAAGGACATCAAACTGCTCATATCTTCTTTTTCTTCTTTTTGACAATAGATAAAGGAGAAACAAGCATATACTAAAAGCAAAAAAAAAAATGTTGAGATTCCCCATCCTAGAAGAGATGATGTTAGAATAGTGGCAGTCAGCATAATCTACAACTCTGACTTGAACCTAGCTTTCCCTGTCCAGATATTATATTCTCCTGTGGTCCATCACATTAAAATTTCTGCCTCAAAAGACTTGGTTTAAAACAATATAATGAGTTCTCAACACCAAGAGCACTGGCAACATAGGTGCATCTAAGATCTTACTTACATATTTAATTCAGATCTAAATCCAGGGAGTGAAAATTGATTTTTTTTTTCTTTCACAAATATGTAACTGCACAACGGCTTTATATTCAAATCATTATATCTTAATGCAATTGCCACTTAGATTTTCAAGTAATAGCACTTATGCATAATATATGTATACGAATGTTCACAGTTCCAGAGAATATACTAATATAAAATGTAAACAAATTTTGAACTTTCTTTTTCTTTTTCTTAATTTTTAATAAATTTGCATCTCTACCTGAATATAACTATTGTTTGATAAGGTGAAGCTCAACTGATGCTGAACATGTAATGAAAGAAGAAAAATGTAAAATCGTTATAACTGAACATGAAGGCAAAGCAAATGACCTTGAAAAGCCAATGAGGGCTCTCTGCAGAAAACTCCATAAAAAGAGCAAGCATAGCAGCAGGAACAGCAGATACCCAAAAACATATTCGCCACCTGCCCACATCAACAAGTTATGGAATATGATATCAATTTATGTGCCACCAAAGCACAACACCAAGTTGTGAAAATAAGTTGTTTTGGTCACATTTTTTTGAAAAAGAGAATGTGCCACCAAGCACATCATTATAGCGGTGGCGATGATGGTCTTGTAGCAAAATTTGCTTCAAATAGCCATAAACAACAGTTAAAACAACTTTTGTTGATTATCAATTCTAAAGCTATTACTAATTCATTTATCATTTCTTACCAACCCTCAGTTTCCTTAGCAGGGAGTCCAATAAATAGAGCACCCATCAATCCTAGGCATGTAGCAATTTGAGTGCAGCTTCCGTAAGTACCCCTTACATAAGCTGGAGAAACCTGTGCATGGATAGTAAAAGAATCAATATACCATGTGAAAAAAGGGAAAGCAAAGAAGAAAAGACCTTGCAATATCACAGAAAAAATTTATATTAACCATCTTTCTTATACCTCTGTCACATAAAGAGCAGCAACAGGTGGGCCAATACCCATTCCGCTTCCAACAAATAGCCTCCCTAGAAGCATGCCCCAAAGGTTTTTTGCTGTTGCACTGCAAGAATATTTTTGGAATTATATAAGCATGTACAATGAGGAAGTTTATTACGATTATCAATTTAAAAGACTGCAAGCATGACGCCAAGGAGTACCTTTTACTTATTCTGTATAAATTTAATTTGCTTTTATGAGAACTAAATGAAAAAGGTAGGAGGGACTCAACATTCCTCAACAATATCTCTCAGGCACTCTAAATGCAGGTGATGGACAGTAGCAACATAAGTTTTATTTGTTAAACTGAATTTTTGCCTTGTGAATATTAATATGAGCTAAAATCTGCAAAAGTTTTCTGAACAAACCCTCCTAGACATTACCATAAAAAAGCATTTAAGGCTAATAGACAGCCAATTTGAGATAAATTTAGCACACAAATGGTAGAAATTAAGGTGGATTGAAATATATGCAATTACCTCATTGAAGACCCAATTATCATAGGTAAAGCACATAGTTGGAATGCCCTGCGTCGCCCAACCCCATCTGCAATCGAACCACTGAACAGCGATCCAACAAAGGCACCCCCTAAACATGTACTTACAACCAGACCTTGTTTTCAACAAAAAACAACAAATTAGAGCAATTTCTCAAATAAGACAAGAACAACAGATTCTTGCACCAGTACCTTCAGCCATGGTATTCCCATGAAAACCAAGGTCATGTGACATACTTTCAAGTGTTTCATTAACTACTCTGCATTAATAATAGCAAACGTTAAGAGTACATTATCTCCAGAATTTCCAGAAATACCAACAAAAGATTTCCCAGAATGAACACACCCCAGATGGTAACCAAATAACAAGGAAGATAAGGTTGCCACGAGTATATGTGGGAACGAACGGTTCCAAGAAGGGTTTCCAATATCTTTGCCAGCTCCATTCAGCGAACGTGCTTAAAAGCCCACATGGAGAACCCGTAAACTGTCAGTACTTAGTACGATTGAAACTAATACAGACAACTTTCATTCAGAAAATGCTTATAACATTTAAATATTCCCCATCCTAATATATGGAAAAAAAAAAAAGATGGACTTCAAGCCATCCCAAATTTGGAGCGAAACTCATGCAGATATGCGATGAGGTAATAAATAAACCCATAACATAGAAAAGCATAACATATAGCCAAAACAAAACTTTCAACTTCATGGCAACTTGTACTTTTTAAAAAGGTTATAAATTGGCTAACTATATTATTATCTTAATCACTAAAAATACAACTTTTAACCGCCAATTCAAAACACAAACAATAATGAAAAACCTTTGCTTACGTGTCTTATAAATAAATTAATGATTATTAAACCAAAATTAATCCCCTATTTTATACCCACGAAGGAAATTATTAAAAAAAAAAAAAGAATGAAGTAAAGTGAAGAATATCTGAACCTTGCTCTTTGTCATTGGCATTGATATAGTCTTTGGAACCACGCTTGTACATGGAATAAGCATCGAGGTGTCGCCCTCGCATTGCCATGTTGTTATAGGCACCGTCTCCAGAACCAAATACAAAACTTTCTGCTGTCAACTGCAAAATAAAATCAAAGAGAGCACTTATATTTATAAATTAATTCATCAAACTACTAAGTTGGACTGATTGTGAGATCAAAAGAATAAAGAGATCGGAAATGTTAAAAAAAAAATCCTATAGATATAGTATTTAACTGTAGATCTGGTATGGTATTTAACACAATAACAGAAATTTTAGAAACTGACAAGAAAAGAAAAAAAAAAACAGAATTTGTTAGAATGTAGAGAGAGAGAGAGAGAAACTGAATAGTCGCCTGAAACAACAGAAACAAAACGTTGTCGTTTATAGGGGATCAAAACAACAGAGAAAGAACAGAACAGAACAGAACAAAAGGATCAATAATTGAGGAACAGAGGAGAGTTGGATTGAGCTGGAAACCGGCACCGTTTTTGCAAAGATCCAAACTTAGAAAACTCTCACCATTTTTGGCTTCAGACTAGAAGAAAGAAAGAAAAGATTCAAGACGAAAAAGAAAAAGAACACTGTAAAGCAAACATTTCTAGTTCCCAAAAAGTACAGAATTCAAAGATAGAAGAAGCATCTGAGTATATACACAAAGACGACACGTCGTGTAAGGAAGAAATAAATACCTGTAATTAGAAATGAGAGCATTAACTTTGGAAATGCTCCAGAATGGCGACTTTAGAATTTATTAAGACAAGAGCTTGAAAATGAGGTGAAGAGAGGAATCAGAAATGGCGAAAGGAGAAAAAGGAAAGAAGGAAACAGACAGGTCGCTATATTGCACCGGGAAGGAAGGCGAGTAGTTGCCTGATGATTGTTGCTAACATACGCACTGTCACTCTCTCTTTTTCTGTTTTCTCTTTCTTTCTTTCTTTTTTTTTT